GGTATCAAGTCCTTTGTTGTTTTGATACTATCACTTGGCCTTACCTAGTTTTCCTCCTTACCTATGATTAGATGTTGGTTATAGTCCTAAGTTGTGTATTCTTTTAAATTAAAACAACAATTAAAAACCAACAACAGTGAAATGACACATCAATTCACCATCAGCACTGCTGTTTGTCTTCAGTTTGGAAAGTTGAAATGTCCCATCACTGTTTTTGGTGTTGAGCACTTTAATTTGCTGTGTCCCTCTCACTCATGGAATTCATTAAGCCAATTATTATATGAGCCCTTATTTCCATTACCAGTTGCTTTAGATTGAGAAATATTCTTTGGCTCTCTTTTTAATGAACATCCTTATAAGAATTTGTAGGAATGGCCATAACCACTGCAATACGCAGTAATTCTAAAGCCCAATTCCACTTAAAGTAATGTTAATTTCTACATATAAAAACACCCGTGTGCCCAGCCGGTGTGGCTCAGTAGGTGAGCGTCGACCTATGAACCAGGAGGTCATGGTTCGATTCCCGGTCTGGGCACATGCCCAGGTTTTGCAGGCTCGATCCCCAGTGTGATACATGCAGGAGACAGCTGATCAGTGATTCTCTCTCATCATTGATGTTTCTGTCTCTCTCTCCCTCTCCCTTCCTCTCTGAAATCAATAAAAAATTATAAATAAATAAAAAATAAAAGCACCCATGCATTGTGAGTCCTTTGCTTTCTTATTTCTGTATGGCGCAAACTCTACCATTCAGTAAAGAAAAGAATCATTAGAAAAGAAAAGCTTTTTTTCATAAATTTCCAGGAGGATATGCCACTTTATCTACTGGTGGGCATACACAATGAAGAATTCCTTCCTGCTCGCGGACCACTCTCTGGCTGGTGGACATAGAAACATGCGCAGGTTAAATGATGAGTCCCTCAGAAAAATGTCCAGGGAGAGGGAAAAGTGAACACGATTCTGTTTAGAACTATTAAAAGGAAATGCATAAAGGCAGAAAAGCATCTCTTCATTTTTCTATCAGAAGTCTCTGAGCTTTTATATAGAAATCTGAGAAGATTTTTTCTAAGTGGAAACTAGAAAATAGGCTGTGTTTGTTGGAAGCTCCAGAAAGCAGATGCTGGGATGAAGTGAGGAGAAGAGCGTTATTGGGGGTAGCGCTTCTATAAGAAAAGGGGATGGAGGCAGGATTGGGCAGGCTGAGCCTCAGACCACAGTTCAGGTCTGACAGTTCCTCCTGTCCCATGAATCAGCCCTGCACTGAGCAGATGGGCCAGGCCCTAGCCTCAACACCACTCTCAATCACGGTTAGGGCTTTCTGTGGAGGAGGGGCTGGGCAGACCAGAAAGTCCCAACAGCTGGGTAGTCAACTACCTGGATTTTTGCAGATGATCAGCAAGTTCTTTTCTGAAGGGAGATCTGAGAAGAGCACCATACTTTGTCAGTGGCAGAAGGGAGAAGGGCATTTGGGGGAGTTGTGACTTCCCTGCCAGTAGAGATTCCTAAATACTGGCACAAGTTCATATAAAGGCAGGGAAATCCCTAGTGGCTCCTTCAGGTATATACTTTCTAAATTGAATCTGCTTTCATCTCAGGTTCTCATAGGTAAGGTGGTTATATACTGCTGAGCAAACATATCCTCAGGCCGAGGATGAAGGCTATCACTACTTTTGGTTAAATCTTTGGTTATATTTGGCTTATCTTTTTAAAAAATATATTTTTGTTGATTTCAGAGAGGAAGGGAGAGGGAGAGGTAGAAACATCAATGATGAGAGAGAATCATTGATTGCCTGCCTCCTGTATGCCCCACACTGGAGATCGAGCTTGCAACCTAGGCATGTGCCCTAACCTGGAATCCAACCATGACTTCCTGGTTCATAGATTGACGCTCAACCACTGAGCCATGCTGGCCAGGCTATTTGGCTAATCTTTGATTGGAAAATGCTTATCATTGGCTTATTAATTCCTTGAAAGTGTCTCATAGGCACATGCATCTCTGAATCACATTGGGTAGAAGTCCCTTTTCTCCCCTAATCAGTTTTATGTCGTTTCAGCCTACTTATTCCACCGCTTATTAGTCCAAAAAATGGAATCCAGATGTTTCCATTGTTTGAGCTCCAGGAAAGCCAATGTGAAAAAAATCTGGGCCAATGAACAAAAACAGGGGAACATGCAGTTAGAAAGGCCTTGCAACTTGATATAGTAAAGGGGTCTTTATTTCTCTCCTCATTCAAACTTTAAACTATTTTTTTTTGGTAATTTCATCTGTTAGACTATTTTTTCTAGGAATATGCTTGAGGAAAGACCATTTCAAAAAACTATGTTATAATTCTCTTCTCATTGTGCCGAGAGGATGACACTAACACTGATGTCTCAGTTACAGTCAGGCCCAGTCTTGTGCTTTTGAGGCCGGGGGAGGCCGACAGGAATGTGGTGCTGAGGGGAGCTGCTGGTGTTACCCACTCAGGCCCACAGCTGCGGGGCCCATTCCTGCATTTAAGGCCTCAGATCATTTGGAGCCGATTTAATACTTTGGTGTTTTCAATAATCCCCTCCTCATCCCCCTCCAAATGACAGAAATTTGAGTCAAGCACTGGGGAAGAAGGAAAACTGTTTGATATGTGAGTTTTTCTTTTCTGAATTATTCTGGGGCTCCTCCAAATGTTTCGTAATTAGTACCTGGCCTGCTGGTTTCCCTTCCTGCACTGGTTTTTGAAGCTGAAGGCAGGTTCTTTGCACTGTTTTACTATCTCAGAAGTGGAAGCAGGTTGTCTATTTGCCAGAGATTTAAGGACGTGGTTCTAACCCTGGCGTGGTGTTCTCATTAACATTGGGCAGAAAACATGATTCTCTAACCTCTAAATGCTCCCTGCCTTTGGCAAGGTCAATTCAACACCTGATTTCTATGGTTTCACATTTAGGGCCACAGAAATACCAGCTCTGCTCCTATACTCCTCTGTTGGCTCTGCCTAAATCCAACAGAGGGCATTCTTTCTCTGTTTTGTTTGACACTGGCCAGCAGACAAAATGAAGTGATATTATTACCCAAATATCCACAACCACATATGCATGTGTTTCCCTTGGTGACAACACTAAGGGTTATAACAAAGAGAAGGGGACATAGCTGCAGCTGGAATTTATTGAGCACTTACTGAGTGACAGGCCCTGCCTCCTGAGCTTTACATTGTATCATCTGATTTCATCTCTTTGAGGTCACTTCAATATCCCTGTGAAACAGTGAGAACTAGTTAGGCACAGGCCATACAACTAATTAGTTGTGGAATAAACTAGTTAGTTGGGATAAAAACCTAAAGAATCAGGTTATAGAGCCTGCTCTTGACACTAGAGCCATATTGCTTTTTATGTGACAGGGATCACTGTTAGAATGATGGCCACGTTAGTGTTCAGATGGCTTCCTATGGCAGAGGTATGTAGGAAATGAATTTGAATTATTTTGCCCTCACTGGTGCTTCCTGCCCACTTGAACACCGTTTCCCCTTTGCTTTACAGCAGTGGTTCCAAACAATGGATGAAAACATTTTTCTTCCCCTATATTTACTAGTAATTATCTGTTCATATTTTCTATTTCATCATGATTCAGAATTGGTATATTGTATGTTTCTAAGAATTTATTTCTTCTAGGTCGTACAATTTGATGGCATGTAATTGTTCATAGTAGTACTTTATGATCCTTTGTATTTCTGTGGTATCAGTTATAACCTCTTCTATTTCAATTCTGATTTTATTTGAGTTCTCCCTTTTTTTCTTGGTGAATCTAGGTAAAGTCTTCTCAATTTTGTGTATCTTTATAAATAAAAAGTTTTTGGTTTCATTGATCTTCTCTATTGTCTTTTTAATCTCTGTTTTAATTTCTTTCTGTTCTAATCTTCACTATTAACTTCCTTCTAATAACTTTGGGCTTTATTTGTTTTTCTTTCTTTAGTTACTTGAAGTGTAAAGTTAGGTTGTTTATTTGAGATTTTTTGTTTGTTTTATGAGGTAAGCATTTAATCACTATGAACTTCCCTCCTAAAACTGCTTTTGTTGCATCTTACAAAGTTTGGTATGTTAGAAATATAACATTTTTGTTTGCCTCAAGGTATTTTTTTTATTTTTCCTTTGATTTTTGTTTTGATCCATTAGTTTTTCAATAGCACATTATTTAATCTCCACATATTCATCAATTTTCCAATAACTGATTACCTTGCCTCTAGCCTGCTCTTCATTTTGTTAATCCTCAACAATGATAGTTTAATTGATTTTTAAAGAGAGTGGAAGGGAGGGAGGGAAGAGAGAAAGAGGGAGAGAGAGAGATGGGAGAAAGACCATCAATTGGTTGCCTTCTGTACAACCCCCAACCAGAGCCAGGGAATGAACCCACAACCAAGGTACGTACCCTTGACCAGGAATTGAACCCGAGACCCTTCAGTGTGTGGCTGACACTCTAACCACTTAGCGTCGGCCAGGTTTAGCCTACTCTTTAACTAGTGCCAAGCACCACATTCCTCCAAATCACTTTTGCATCGGGCTGTAAGAAAAGATAAATGTTACCATGTCCTTCTCTTGGAGATGGTCCATGTTGCCTCATTGCCTACAGAATGAAGTCCAGTCACCTCTCGTCTATTCCTCAGCCTCATCTTTCTCTTTATTCACCTCCTTGCCTGTGATGCACCAGCAACACTGAACTAATTGGAGTTCCCCAGACCCCCTGGCCCTCCTTGGATTTGTATCACTACTTGAGCAGTTTCTTCTGTCCATGACACCCTTCTATTTCCTGTTCTGGCAAGCTCCTTACTAGCCTTCATGACTTTGCTCTAGCAGAGTTTGATTCTTTCATGAATTCATAGCATTCAATACGTGACCTTTCTTAGAGTATTTAACACCCTAAGTTAGCATTATGAGTAAATGAAATAGTTGTATCCAATGAACTACAAGATGCCTAAAGGCAAAGAATCTATCTCATGCATCCTCCTTCGTTTAGATCCCAGTCTACGCTCTCTTTTATTCGGCAAGAGTTTTATATGTATGCTTCAATGCTGTACTAAGTGAATTTATCAGCAGAGGTTGGTTTATTAGCTATATATTGAGAGCTTCTCGAGGAAAATAAGAAAAATCTCTCGATGTCATCAAAAGATGGCTTGAAATCATGTCTGTGTCTATTAAAGACGTGTCCTGCCAGGGCACCCATGTTTTGCAGGCTCTGGGAGCCATGAGAGCATTTATTTCTGGGGTGGTTAATGAGCTGCTCCTTAGGAGGAAAAAGTCTGATTTAAAAACTGACTCTGGCTATGCATGTCTACAGACTGGAAGAATTAGGCTTCTCATAGGAATAAAGCAGGGATCTTAAAGAAATTGAGAGTTTTCAAAGTTGCATTGTAAGTATCCTTTTTGGAACTGTTAGGGTCAACCAGGGAATTGACTTAACTATCTGCTATTAATAGTAACATCTGTAGTTGAAGGAAGCAGTAGAAAGTGAGTTTGACTTTGAAAAAGAAACATGAAGAATTGGTGGCACTGATCCAATGAATTGATAATGTAAAATGTATCACCCAAGTAGAACTTAAGCAGGCTTAGCGTTTTGTTTCTTAAAGTATTTACACAATGTTCCAAACCTTCTGAAGGATTGGACAAGCATGCACACATGTGGGAGACATGTGTATGTCTTGGCTTAAAACTTTGCCATAACTGCTCCAGGAAGATGTCATTGGTTTGTAGGTTGAATGAGATCAGAGTTTCTTTATTCTGGATGTGAATTAACTGAGAGGCATACATTCATGATCTAATTTAGAAATTCTAGATGGCCAGGATAGAAAAGAAATGGAGTCTTTGTCAAAATCTAACAATATAACTGCATTATCATGTAGGGATAGGTGGCATTCTGCCAAAACCACATAAATGAAATTATGACCTGAGGAAAAAATTCTTATATTTGTGTAGAATTAGCAAATGATTTCAAGATTAACATTGTTCAAAAAGATTGTAGAAAACCATTTTAAAAAATTAATTCAGAGCCCTAACCGGTTTGGCTCAGTGGATTAGAGCGTCAGCCTGCGGACTGAAGGGTCCCAGGTTCGATTCCAGTCAAGGGCATGTACCTTGGTTGCGGGCACATCCCCAGTAGGGGGTGTGCAGGAGGCAGCTGATCAATGTTTCTCTCTCATCGATGTTTCTAACTCTCTGTCCCTCTCCCTTCCTCTCTGTAAAAAATCAATAAAATATATTTTAAAAATTAATTCAGAAATGACTATTTCAATTCTTTAATCATTTTGGGAAAAGTTAGGCTTTTTAATAGTTTGTGTATGAACAGCTTTCAAAGTGGGGTGGAGGGTATCAGGTGGTAAAAGCTCATTAAATATTGACTGTTTTCCTTGATTTTCAGCAATACCGTGAAGAACTGGATGCCAAGTTTAATACTGACAAATTTAAATGGGACAAAATGTGCCATAGAGAAGCGGCAGTGATGTTGAAAGCCTTTTTCAGAGAATTACCCACTTCTCTCTTCCCTGTGGAATATATACCTGCCTTCATCACTCTAATGGAAAGTAGGTGGAAGATGTTAAGTGTGAATGGACTAAGCTATAAGGTCAATAAAGTGACTTAGAGTAGAAGAAAGATACAAACTAAAATGTGATCCGAAGTGTGTATTTGCTCTTTCCTGGCAATGCTTGGTGAAATACTGTGTTTGATGGTAAGCAGTCATCTCTTTACATAATTAGTCTGATAGATATGATTTAGAGAGTTTTATAATCATTAAAAGGTAGAGGGTTTTGCAGAAGGAATAGACTCTCGAGATTTAAATTCCTGCTCAACCAATTGTTAGCCATGCAATGAACCTTTCTGGGCTTCATTAGTGTGCCTATAAATTGAAGTTGATAGTTATATATCAGCGTTGTTGTGGCTATTGGGTGAAAACATCTAGAATAGTGTCTGGTGTGTAATAGTCCTTAAAAAAATATAAGTCCTCTCTATTCTTTGAATCTAAAATCCTGCCCTGATGATGTAACACATAATAAATGTTATACAGAATGTGTCTTCTCTTTGAAAATTATATCACATAGTACTTCTGAAAATTACAAAGACACGTAGATTAGGCCTTAAGTGAGTACTGTGATAAAAGTATAGCAATGGAAAGTATGTGTTGTGTTTGGCAATGAGGGAATGATTTGTCATGGCTTCAGCCTAAGGGTTGAATATTTCAGAGGTTGTGACAAGAGAGAAATTTAGAAAAGTAGAATGGAGCTAGTGGGGCTTTCACTACTAATCTGAGGAATTCAGGGATCACAGACCTAAATATGTACAGTAAATCCTCACTTGTCATTGATAGATTCTGCATCTTTAAGTGAAACAATTATGAGGAAACCATAGGCTAATTGATGTAAACAAGAGTTAAGTTATGATGAAACAATGTTGAATGCGATGATGTTATTCGAGGACTTACTGTACAAGCCTGTTAAGTAAATGGTGATTCTACATGGACAGAAAAGGGCTGTGGGCAGACTGAGAGGACACGCCCCAAATGATGAGGCAGCCACTGCTCAGCTCTGCTCTTCCCTATCTGTCTGCAGCCAGTACACTTCATTTAAGGGAGAGAATCTGGAAGTATCCTGAAAAGGTTCACAGAGGAGTCCATAGTTCTTTGTGTGATTTTGAAAGTGAAAAATACTACATTACAGTGAGTGATTTGAAACCAGCCAACCCCACAGGGAAGCCCAAAGGTCAGGGCTACTACCAGCAGGGAATACAGCCTTTTTGCCAGGTAGAGTAAACTTTAGTTGTAATGAGATTTTCTGAAATGAAGAATTATAGACGTAGGTATGTGTGTTAACTCTGCCCCTCTTCATACTCTGAAACAGAGTATAGAGGATATAGAGTCACTTCCACTAGGATATAGAGTCACTTCCAATATAAAGTAATTACTTTATATTTTCAAACTTGGAACAAATATTGTCCATAAAATTAAAGGACTAATAGTTCATCAATCAAACCTGAGATATTTGCATGAAAATGTTGATAGCTTTCTAAGGAAATAATGACCTCAGGACAAAAAAGGGATGCAGTAAATGAATTAAGTACCAAACCATTAAACACAAAACAGTAGGGCCAGGTTTCTTAAATAAAATGAAAATGGATTATTTGCTAGTTTAGATTTTTAATCTTAACAGGAACTTTATAATTTATCTGAAATTAACGGAGATACAGTCTGCATCTGTTATCTCCCCCATAGAAGTTTTTGGGGATTACATTGGAAGATTATAGACAGCCCTTAGCCTGCTGTGTACTTGTTAAAATAATGCTTTCTCTGTCCCTAAATACTTGTACTGAGATGTGCTCCTGATAGTCCTGATATTCAGTCAAACTCATGTCAGCATGCATTAGCTGTTTTCAGAAATATCCTGCACCTGTGTCATTTTTGTTTACAAATTTGACATAAATCTCTAGAAATCCACATGGGGATTGTGCTGAGAAAATATGACACAATCCCCTAAATACTCCTTCCAACTGCTCCTTCATTATGTGGTTATTTGTATTTGTCATCTATTCCTAACTTGGGTGCACACAACCTCTTGTAACAAGTACCTGGTCACAGGAGTGTTGCCAGTATTGTGAAGCTAAGTGACTAGAAGCAGCTGACTGCCTTTCATCCATTGACTATACATAGATAGATTTTTCATCAACTTGAGAACTCCCCAGGGATTCTAGAACATAATGCTTCCTGCCAGGAACTCCCCACTAAGAGGCCATTTTGAGGAGAATACAGAGAGACAAAGCAAAACCTGGATGCTATAGTAAACTCCACATTTTTCAGCACAGCTGGTTGTAGATTAACCAGTTGTGGATGGAATTGCTAAAATCCCTTCCCTGAAATGGGAAGAGTTGGCATTGAGAACAAAAGCATAAATGCCAAACGTCTAGCGCCATCTTCTGTCATTGTCAAGGAATAAAATATCAACAATCTCCAGAGATCCAAATAGAATCACCTTCCCTAAATGTCCACTTAAGATCTAGAATACCTGTCATTAATCAGAACAAGAGAAAACACACATAGAGGTAACGACTTAGAGGCACTGATGTGAACATTCTACACATATTAACTTATTTAATCTTTCCTTTTTAATGCCGGGCATTCTCTTTACAGAAGCTACCTTGTTTAAAGTTTTAAGTTATCATCTTTGCTGATAATATGCCTTAGAAATGGCTCATGATTGAAGCTTTGTTGGATTCCCCAGAAGCAGCATCTCATAGTGTGTATGGAACATTTATTAGGGTGTACACTTGGGTTCCACACTTCTGAAAGGGAAGGGTAAGGAAGCAGAATTGGGCAGAGGATAAGGCTGGGCAGTGGTGCAGTCTGAGCCAAGCCCTCATGCAACCCTCTAGAGAGCTCTGAAGCTGGGTGGCCTTTCAGAATGGTTTCCCAGTGCAGGGAGAAAGGTGGGCATTTTTATTCTGAATCAGGCTGTGAGTGGATATAGACTGAACCTCAGAAGACAGCATGACCTTAGGCAAAACAGCCTGGGAGAGCCGTTTCTAGGAAGAGCTGCCAGCTGAGGGGTTATATCCTTCAGTCGTGCAGGGGGGATGCAGGCTGGCATCATGTTCCCTGTCCCACTACAGGCATGATGTGAAAACAAAGAGACTTTCTAAGTTTCTGAGACACCCCCACATGAAGAAGAAACAAATGAATTTTTAGAGGCAGTCCAACATACAAAGGAAATCTTAGTTATGAAATAAAGCCCACATTTATTGTTTTCTTTATTTCTTTTTTTAATTTAATTCTTTATTGTTTAAAGTATTACATATGTCTCCTTTCCCCCCATTGACCTCTCCCCGGCCGCTCCCACCCCCCAGCACATGTCCTCACTCCCCTACTGTCTATGTCCATTGGTTATGCTTATATGCATGCATATGTAAAGACCACATTTCTTGAGCTAAAGGGATTACTCTATCCATAAACCACTATGCACAAGAGTACCTCTTGTTGCTCTTGGTGTTAACAGGTTTCTTCTCTGATTTCATGAATCCATACTTTAATAAGAGGTACTAATTCATATGTAATAATCTGTCCCTACATTAAATAGAAGATATTTCAGCACTGTCTCTTACACAGCAATGGATGGGACATTCCCAAAACATTTACCCAACGGCACCAAAGTAAATGTCCAGCACTTTAGTCCACATACTACATAAAGCATACACAATGGCAAAGGCAAATTGGTCCAAACTTTTCAAAATTAGTGGTGGCAAAAAAATCCCCTGAGAGACCGGTGATAAAATCTTGCCATTTCTGTAATTGTCACAACCCAGGAAAAACTATAAAGGATAGGGCATGGATCACAATCCCACTTTAAGTATAATTGGAGCATTTATAACTGGATTTTATGTAATTGCCCAAATCACAAAGCCTTAAGTAGGTTTCAGTAATGTTTGGGTTTTCCCCCCAAAGCTGTCCTCTGTATCTATGAATTTGTTTTTTTGAAAAGGTGTTGTTTTTTGGAGGGTATTTTTTAGCTTTAGATTCCACAGATAAGGGAGATCAGATGCTATTAGTCTTTCTCTGTCTGACTTATTTCACTTAGCACAATGCCCTCAAGCTCCATCCATGTTATTGCAAATGGCAAGATTTCATTTTTTATGTCTCAATAATATCCCGTTTGTGTGTGTGTGTGTGTGGGTGTGTGTGTGTACCAGTGTGTGTAGCACATTCTCTTTTTCCATTTATCTATAATTGGACACTTGGATTGTTTCCATATTCTGACTAATGTAAATAATGCTGCAGTGAATACTGGGATGCATATGTCTTTTCCAGTTAGTATTTTCATTTTCTTAGATTAAATACCCAGAAGTGATTTGCTGGATCATATGACAAATTTGTTTTAATTTTTTGAGGCACCTCCATCCTGTTTTCCATAGTGGCTGTACCAATTTACATTCCCACCAACTGTACACAAGGGTTCCCTTTTCTCCATATCCCTGCCAACACCTGTTATTGTCTTTTTTATAATAGCCATTCTAACAGGTGTGAGGTAATATTTCATTGTGGTTTGATTTGCATTTCCCTGATGATTAATGATGGTGAGCATCTTTACTTGTACCTGTTGGCCACCTATATGTCTTTGGAAAAATGACTGTTCTTCTGCCCGTTTTTAAATCAGATTGTTTGGGGTTTTTTGCTATTGAGTTGTATTAGTTCTTTATGTTTTGGATATTTGCCCCTTAATATATAATGATTCACAGACGTAATGATTTGCAAATGTTTCTGACATTCAGCAGGTTGCCTTTTCATTTTGTGGGTGGTATCCTTTCCTGTATAAATGCTGTTGAGTTTGACATAGTCCTACTTGTTAATTTTTCTTTCTGCTGCTTTTGCTTTTGGTGTCAGATTCAGAAATTCATCACCAAGACCTATGTCGAGGACCCACTGCCAATGCTTTCTTCTAGGAGTTTTATGGTTCCAGGTCTTTCGTATAAGTCTTTACTCCAATTTGAGTTTTAAGTCATTTAACTTTTATAACAGCCAGTGAGGGAGGTGGAAAGACTACTTCCATTTTGCAAATGATAAAATAGAAGCAACAAGGGGTTAAATAGCCTGACCAAGGTCACTCAGTGACTAAGCAGTACCTGCAGGATTGGAAGCTGCTTATATGGCCCATGTTCCTAATAATTATATTTTGCTGCTTCTTTATGTGGAAACAAGATTTATTTTCTCTTGAACTTCAAGCTTTTTGTTTATAGCATAAAAGTAAAGTAAGGCCTGTGAAAGCACTTTGAAATGGGAAATGTTATATAAATCCAGAATTATTTTGAGGATCTTGGCCACCTGCCTCTACAATGGCATCACGGGATGTGAGAGGAGAGCTGATAGACTGTCCACACGAACAAATTTAATTGTTGGGCACAAAAACTGAGTCCTTACCACCGAGAGCTGTCAGAAGCCCTCCTCTGCCACCAGATGTAGCGAGGAATGCTGTCAGAATACATCAGTCGTGTTCCAAATGAGTGGTTATTTCTGTTTTCTTGTTAGGAGGGCCTCACATCAAAGTACAGTTTCAAGCCTTACACCTCATGGTCATGGCACTGCCTGATGCCAACAGGGACACAGCTCAGGTATGTTGTATTGACCTCATGTTTTATCATTGGCTCTTGTTGGTCAGAGGAAATGGCTCAGATGGAAAAGTGAAAAACAAGCTGAGCATGCTGTGAACCTGTTCCCTTCCATGCTCCCACTGCTCTTCTCCGGAGGAAGACAAGAAAGAATGTAAATCCTGGAGTCTTCCTTGAACATTTCAGTGTCATCCATTCAATCTGTTAGATGTTGAATGTCTACCATGTGCCAGGCCCTGGGCGAGGGTTAGGATTAGGAAAAGCAAACATGGAAGACTTAAGTAGGATCATGTCAGAAACAAACAAGAATATTATGTAAGTTGTAAAATATAAAACTCTATGATTGCTGGTCCTCAGCTGCCCACCTCAGTCTAGTGGCAAAAGATCTGAGGAGTGTACTTGGGGAGGAATTTTAAAATCAGTGATTTAATTTTTTTAAATGTTCATGCCTTAACATTTGCAAATTCAATTTAAAGAATTCTACAATCTCTGAATTTTAGAGGTTATGAGCTAGGAACTTGTCATTTTATGGATTAGGAAAATTAAACTCAGAAAAGTGATTTCTCCATTAACATATGATAGAACATTTGATAGAATCCTGTTCCATAGTTCTTCATCCCAAATATCCCTCCCTTCATTTCAAATTCATTCTGTTGCTGTATGATGGTAAAAAAATCAAAGTTTCTCTTGCTATTTGATAGTGATTCTGTATACGATAGGGCATTTGTTATAAGTATGATAGGTGTTGAGAATCTTTGAAATGAGGTTAGATGAGTTAGAAAGAGCCAATAATTTTGAGGCCAGTAAACATAATGCTAAAAACAAATATGATTCTTTTTAAAAAATATATTTTATTGATTTTTTTTACAGAGAGGGATAGAGAGTTAGAAACATCAATCAGCTGCCTCCTGCACATCCCCTACTGGGGATGTGCCCGCAACCAAGGTACATGCCCTTGACTGGAATCGAACCTGGGACCCTTCAGTTCGCAGGCAAACGTTCTATCCACTGAGCCAAACCGGTCAGGGCTAAATATGATTCTTAATGCTGCCTCTTATCAAACATTTTAATTTGATGAGGACCCTTCCTCCCACATAGTGAAAACACCTATGTTAATTATATGTTAATTATATCCTCAATCCAAAGATGGGGGTTGGCTATGACATGAGAACCTTTCTCTAATACAATTTGGTAATTTTTCAAAAGCTGGAATTTATTAGTTTTTTACTTTGTCTAAGCAATGATCTTTTATCCAAAAAAAAATGCATCAGGTATCAGATATCTCAGTCAAAATATTATCTATCCTTTCATATAATTGAGGATGTAGTAATTATCAGGAAATTCATTACATTTCTAACAGAATATCTTCAAAAAACATTATGGAACTTGTGAAGAATCAATCTCCCCGCCCCCCCCTGCCTCCCTTGCCTTCCTCCCCCCATGCTTTGCTCTCTCCCATTCTAAATTGTGACTGGAACTAGATTGACATTGGTGTGGTGTACATAGAAATCAAGAGCTCTGGCTCAAGAATCAGATGTCTTCAGTTCAAATCCTGGTTTTGCTACTTAATGAACTGATGCTTGACAAGGCTATCAATTCTTCTCCACCTTAGTTTCTCATCTATAAAACTATATTAATATTGGTACCTACCACACAAGATTTTGAAATATGATAAAATCAGTGGATATATATAAAGTACTAAGAATAATGCCTGGCTCATAATAAACCCTCAGATAAATGTTAACTATTATTATTCTTATGTGCTGTCCATTTTCTCATTACAAATACTACAGCAGAATTCAAACTTGAGAAACTAAAGAGCATTTCCCTTCAGGATTTCAGTCCTCTAGGTGAATTTCAGAAGGTCTGATAAACATTTATACTTTGTTGGCTTAGCCAAACTGTTATTAAGCTTTCTCAAAGCTTTTTAAAAAACATTTTAAAACAGCTGCATGTAAGCATTTCCCTTTGGTCTACTGAAGATTCCAAAATTGAAAAACAATGGAAAAATGATATCCACTAAGTAAAATTTAAAAATTTTTTCAATTGTGTTTACATTTTGCCTGAGGAATGAGATACTCACTTTTTTTAAAAAAATGAATTTTCCTTTCCCAAGAAAACAGTAGTTTTTAACAGTGATGCTTTAAATTAAGAGTTGTTTTTTTTTAATTACTTTTCTTCAAAATGAAATTACATTACATGTTATTTATCTTTTTTGCAATACAGTATTTTCTAGTCCTAGTTTACTATTTAATTTTAGTATTTGTCAAACTTGTTTAGGATAACAGAAAAGAAAATGCAAACTATTATTCATAGAGATTCCACTATAATAAACTCCATGAAAACTATTCACATTTCTCATCAGCACTTTTAAGCAAGTAAAGGGGAGCATGACATTTAGCCATTCTGTACTTCTGAGAATAATCTGACAATTTTCCTGAGGCACAGTAAATGGGTACAGAAATAGATGAAGATGTTCATTGGTGTCTTTTGATAATTTACATTAGTGTGACACAATGCTGTATCTTCTTAGGCCCTCATGACATTCTTCAATAAAGTGATTGCCAATGAATCAAAGAACCGAATGAGCATATGGAACATTTCTACCATAATGGCACCAAACCTTTTCTTCAGCAGAAGCAAGCATTCTGACTATGAAGAATTACGCTTAGCAAACACTGCAGCCCACATCATCCGCCTAATGCTCAACTACCAGAAAATTCTGTGGAAGGTGAGTAATAGTGTGATAACCTTAATGTACTCCTTTCAAGTCTACCAGCACCCAGGAAACAATGGCTCCATGAGGAAGCAATGCCCTTAGTCACAGGGAAGAAATATGAGAATATAATCCCAGGTTACCTGTAGCATCGTTATGCATCCTTTGAGGGCTGCTCCTGAACTTGTCCTCTCTTTTTAAATATGAATTCTAATAGTTTTTTCTAATTTTTACAAGGACAAATGCCACATTATACTGAGTGGCTATGAATTACCGTAACGGAAGACAGAATCTACTGGGAAGGTTTAATTCAAGTGTTTTCCTTCAGGTCAAGCTGTTTTTCTTCTCCAGGTCCCATCTTTCTTAATCAATCAAGTCCGAAGAATGAATGAAGCCACCATGTTGTTAAAGAAGCAGCTCCCAAGTGTCAAAAAATTGCTAAGGAGGAAGACCATAGAACGAGAGGTAATAATAAACATGGATGCAAATGTTACAGCCCAGGTTTTTATTTCTCAGAGTGAGGCACAAAGTAGCTTGTCATTTAGAACCAGAAATTTTATATTCTCACCAAATGCCAGTCTTGTGACTATAAACTTTGTGGAAATTGTGTCCATGGCAGAATACTGTGATCTTTTCGTTTTGCTATGCATTTTGGTTGACGTTTTTGAAATATCTTTCTCATGCTTACTGTTTTATTCTGTCAAGTACTTTAAGCTAAAATGGTTCTCACAAAAACTGAAAGTTGATGTTTTAGTCCCTATGAATTAGATTTAAGAATTTAAAATATCTGATACATAGAGAAGGAAACTTCTTTAGTGATCGAATTCTGAAAGAATATCTTAGCCTCAGGTTGTTTTGTGTAAATTCATTGCATTCTGAAGAATATTTGCATTAGCACAGCTTGTATAGAGGCGAATAATGGAAAGAGGTGCAAAATATCCTTACACTAGGATACTTTTCCATTGTTTTCAAACAGAGTGGAAGGGAGGGAGGCGGGGAAAGGGGCGAGAGAGAGAAAGAAAAACATCAATGTGAGAGAGACACATCGATTGGTTGCCTCCCGCATGTGCCCTGACCAACCCAGCAGGGCTAGGGATCGAACCCACACCCGAGGTACATGCCTTGACCAGGAATGCAACCCCAACTCTTTGGACTGCAGACCAGTGCTCTAATCACTGAGCCAAACCGGTGAGGGCTAGAAGAATTATCTTTATTGCTTTAATTTAACTTGAGGATGATTATGAGTGTCAGGCATAGCATTTTACCTTGAGGAGGATAGAGAGATACATAAAACTCACTTTGCCCCTTAAAGGAATTTACACCTAATGTAGGAGACAGGTGTGTAGAGAGCTAGGGATATGCATTAGGTGCCAGATCAACTGTGCACACAATGTGTAAGGACCATGCAGAGGAGAAAGAAATGTGCTCCATCATGGGAAATTGTGAACAGTTTCGTGGAAAAAGTGTAATTCGAGCTGCATGTTGAAGGATGGATAGCATTTTGAAGGGAGAAAAGAAGGGAAAGCTCATCCAGGGAAAGGAATGGTAAATGCCAAGGTGGTGAGTGCTGCTGGTTGATTTATCACAGTCATGATGAATGGCTGTATTCCCTTATTGGTAATAGGCAAAGTGACTTTAGATCAAGTAGAACCAAGACATTTATATATTTTAAAAAATTGTTTTGAGAAAAATTCACATAATAGAAAATTCACCATTTTAAATATTTTGAAATGTACAATTCATTGGTTTTGATGCATTCACAATGTCATGCAACTGTCACCATCATCGGATTCCATAATACTTTCATCATCCCTAAAAGAAACCCCTTGCCAATTAAGCACTCATTCCTCATTACTCCCTCTTCACAGCCCCTGAAAAGCATTAATCTACTTTTTGTTCTGAGTTTACCTATTTTGGACATTTCATATAAATGGAATCATACAATATATGGTCTTTTGTGTTTGACATCTTTCACTTAGCAAAATGTTTTCAAAATTCATCATATTGTAGCATATATTACTACTTCAGCTCATATAAGCATCTTTTCGTGTGCTTATTGGCCATTTGTATATCTTCCTTGGAGAAATATCTACCCAGATATTTTCTCATTTTTGTTTGGGTTATTTGAATTTTTATTATGTTGTAAAACTTCGTATAATCTATATACAAGTCCCTTATCAGATGTGTAGTTTGAAAATATTTGTGTCCTTTGACACACAAAGGTTTTTATGATGAAGTGTAATTGTATCTATTTTTGTTGATCATGTTTTTGTTGTCATCTCTAAGAATCCTTTGTCAAATCCAAGATCATAAAGATTTAACCCTATGTTTTTGTCTAAGAATTTTATAGTTTTAGTTTATATTTATATATAAACAAACATATATATATGTTTGCTTCATTTTGAGTTGTTTTTAGGAGATAATATGAGGTAGGGGTACACATTCATTCTTTTACATGTGGCTGCCCAGTTATCCCAGCACCATTTGTTGAAAAGACTATTCTTTCCCCAGTGAATGGTCTTGGCACTTTTGTCAAAAATTAATTTATAATAGATGTATAACTTTATTTCTACAATCTTAATTATGTTCCATTGATCTATATGGCTATTCATATGCCAGTATCACATTGTTTTGATTACTGTACCTTTGTGTGTTTTTTTAATATTTTTTAATGATTTCAGAAAGGATGGGAGAGGGAAAGATAGAAACATCAATGATGAGAGCATCATTGATTGACCTCCTGCACGTCTACAATCTTAATTATGTTCCATTGATCTATATGGCTATTCATATGCCAGTATCACATTGTTTTGATTACTGTACCTTTGTGTGTTTTTTTAATATTTTTTAATGATTTCAGAAAGGATGGGAGAGGGAAAGATAGAAACATCAATGATGAGAGCATCATTGATTGACTGCCTCCTGCACGCCCCCACTAGGGTTTGAGCCTGCAACCTGGGCATGTGTCCTGACCAGGAATCAAACCTTGACCTCCTGGTTCATAGGTGATGCTCAACCACTGAGCCACATCAGCCGGGCTGTACCTTTGTTTTAAGTTTTGAAATTGAAAAATGTAAGCACTCCAACTTTTTATTTTTCAAACAAATTTGGTTATTTTGGATTCCATGTATTCCTGTATGAATTTTAGAAGCAACTTTTTCATTTCTGCAAAAAAAGGTACTTGGGATTTTGATAGGGGTTGGATTGAATATGTAGATTAATTTGGAAGTATTGCCACTCTAATAATATTAAGCTTTCCAGTACAAGAGAATGAGTTGTCTTTCCATTTTTTAAAGTTCTCTATAATTTTTTCAGTGTTTCATAGTTTTTAGTGTATTAGTCTTGCACTTTCTTGATCACACAGTTTTTTTGATATGATTGAAAATGATATTGTTTTCTTTATTAATTTTGGGGTGTTTAAGTGTTAGTATATGAAAATACAACTGAATTTTATATATTGATGTTGTATCCTGCAATTTTGCTGAATTCTTTGATTAGTTCTAAAAGTTTATTTTTGTTTGTGTAGATTCTATAAGATAATGTTATGCTTTCTATGATGAGAATTTTCCTTCTTCCTTTCCAATCTGGGTGCCTTTTATTCCTTTTTCTTGCTAAATTGCCCTGACTAGAACTTTCTGTAAAATATTAAGTAAGAAGGCAGGGCAGAGCCTGAATGTCAGCTAGAGGTGAGAGTTCAAGTTCTTTTCAGGTCTTTCCTGAACCATGTGCACAGCCTTGGACATGTGCATGGCCTTCTGGATTCTCTGGAATATGTTGGAGCTTTTCAGAGCCCTAATTTCTCAAAGTATGTCATGGCCTTCTGGATTCTCTGGAATATGTTGGAGCTTTCAGAGCCCTAATTTCTCAAAGTATGTGGATCTCTAGGCTTGCCTCTAAAGCTTTTTAGTCTCTTTCCCCCATAACTCTTACCCACTGCATCAGACAGCAATGATAAAACATTTGCCTATAGATGTTTTCAACATTATACTATTTTATCCCTGATCAAGTTCCAGGTTAGGCAAGCTAAAGGCAGTCCTTTTGAGCCAGTGTTCCAGGGAACCATGAGACAGATCAGAACAAATAATTATTCTTTGTGAGTGAGGTGTCTTTTGCTCCCTCTATGACCTGTACCAGGAATGCAGGCTGTTATTTTCAAGGCTATTAATGAGCTAGGGAACAGAGATGGGAAAAGGGTAAGTTAAAAAGCCATAAAGCTTACTGTTCTTACCAAAATTCAGCTGTTTTTCTTACTTAGGCACTCTCTGGTTGCAACCTCCGGGGTGGTATCCAGAGTTCTGAAAAAGTTGATACCAACAATTTTTGCCACTTTATTCATTGCTTTTATGGAGAGACAGTCTTTTGGACTCCTTACTCTGCCATTTTCACTGTGAACAATTTTAATGGCAAAGTATGATATGTTCAGAGCTGAAACTGAGGTCAGGTCAGGCTTTGCTGTAGGAGCCTTGGCGAATTAGTTTTTATTTGAATCTCAGGTTTATTATAAATTGGAGTGGGGGTGGAGGAAGTAGTGTTTTCTATCTCACAGAGTTATCATTAGCATCAACTCATAAAATGTGTGTAAGCACTTTGTAAATTGTACAATGCTATATAAACATAAATTATTTTAATTGTAAATTAAAACCAAGGCAGAATTTAAAAGTTGTAAGTATCATGGAAGCAACACTTAAAGATGAAGAAATAGTCTTTCTTCAGTTCTCTTGTACTATACCATGTTTTTAATTCTTAAGTTTGATTGGAATAGACAGTTCATTGAAAGGTTAAAAAATTCAAAAGGTAAGAAAGACAATAGAATAAAAATTGGATACCTTGACTTCCTCTCTCAGAGACAAATGATGCTACCAATGCAGGTTGTATGTCCACAGGAACTTGCAGGTGTATGTACTTCCGGAGAAAACTGTGCACATACAAGCGGATATGAGTAAATGTCCTCCCCACTTTTTTCCATGAATGATATAACACACATAAAACACTGTCCTGCACCTTGGTGATTATTCCACATCGGTCCACAAAGCCTTCTTCTCTGCTTCTTTTGCACGATATTCCACAGACACATCATAATTTATTTAAGCTACCCCATACTATGAACAGTTAGATGGTGTCCAGGCTTTTGAAGAGTTTTATATCAGTGAATAAACTTGTTTTATGTCACTTTTCAAAAATGAAGTATATTTGTAGGATAAATTTGTAGATTTGGAATTGCTGGATTAAAGTACATATTTATTTTATAATTTGGTAAATATTCCAAAATATTTTCCATAAAGATTGTACCAGTTTGTACTTCCAACAGCAGCATATGTTTGTCTTTCCAACATTAATCCTAAAAACTAAATGTGTTTTATTTAGGTTACAAGCCCCAAGACTTCAAAGGTACTACAAAAATCACCCTCTTTAAGAAGAATGGTAAGAAAACAAATAATTTCCTTTCCTCCCTAATTATTAACTTCCTACATAGTATTCCCTGGCTACATCCAGGGTATCTGTGTATAATTTTGGTCATGGCATATCCTTCAAACTTGACATTTTTATTGTGACACAACTAAATGATGATTCAAAATGTGTGGTTAGGCATCTCTACACAAGTAGAAATTAGAAGGAAATGTGATTTTTATGATCACAGGTTCGATAATGTCAGGGGTATGGAATTTATCTTACAGAGGCTTCTGGAGAGATGGGAGGGGAAGGATATGAAATGAACAAGGGTAGCTTAAGAATACAATCTTGGCTGCAATGAAGCAGGGGCACTCTGCCCCATTCCAAGTCTACATCCTGTATGTGTATTTCCTACCATTCTCTCCTGGTTCTGCTGGGAATGGTAGAATAGTCCTATAAGAATCAACCCTATTTTAAAATATTTTGTATTCGTTTTCTAGTACCGCCATAACAAAGTACCACAGACTGGATTACTTAAAACAATAGAAATTCACTCCCCATAGTTCTGGAGGCTAAAAGTCCAAAATCAAGGAATTGGTTTGGTTGATTTCTTCTGAGGGCCATGAAAGCAGAACCTATTCTTGACTTCATTTATAGATTTTCACAATGCCATCAATATTTACATTCCTTAGCTTGTCATTGCATCCCAATCACTGCCTCTGTCTTTATATGCATTCACCCTGTGTATGTGTCCCTGTCTCTTCTCCTCTTTTAAGGACACCAGTCACACTGGATTAAGGGCCTTCCCTACTCTGGTATGAGCTTATCTTAGCTATTATATCTGCAATGACCCTATAAATAAAGTCATATTCTCAGGTATTGGGGGTGAGGACTTCAACATACCTTTTGTGGGGAACACAATTCAACACATAACATTCTTTCTAGGGTAGATATTGAATCACTTCACATAAACCTACATCAACAATTTCACCTTTTGAGAATATACAGATTTATAATAATTACCTGAAGAGTAGCCAGACCCTCAAACAAATAGAAACTTGTTTCTATTCACCTATAGTTAGAGAATTAATCATTAAAACACTCAAAATTTTGAAACAAAGGAATTTTCCAATCAATCCTGACAAAACAGAAATTTCTATTAATTAGAAAGCAACATTTTTTTAAAAATATTTTTTTTATTTTTTAAAATACATTTTATTGATTTTTTTCAGAGAGGAAGGGAGAGGGATAGAGAGTTAGAAACATCGATGAGAGAGAAACATTGATCAGCTGCCTCCTGCACACCCGTCACTGGGGATGTGCCTGCAACCAAGGTACATGCCCTTGACCAGAATTGAACCTGGGATCCTTCAGTCCGCAGGCTGATGCTCTACCCACTGAGCCAAACCGGTCAGGGCAACATTTTTTAATATTTCATTTCGATGGGAGTTCCAGAGTCCCCAAGCCAATTATGTTACATAAAAGCAGAGACATTCTCTTTCCCAATAGCGGTCCATGTCTGCCCTTCACAATGTTATTAGCACACGTGGAGGGATCAAGTCTCAAGTGTCCATCTGGAGTTCACTTTGGGCTGACTAAAGAAAAGGGATACTTAAAAAGTCATATTTTCTAATTGATTTTTGACTTTTTCAGGCTGACATTAAAATATATTGAAATATAGAACTCTGCTTACAGTAGGCTTATTTAGAATACTAGAGGTCCAGTGCACGAGATTTGTCCACTCAGGAGGGAAGGGGGGTCCCGCAGCCCAGCCTGCGCCCTCCCACAGTCTGGGAGCCCTTGGGGGGATGTCCGATTGATGGCTTAGGCCCTCTCCCCACAGGAAGCATCAGTGTGACATCCTATTTGCTGCTGCAGAGACCACCACTGCAGTCCTCGCCAGCCTTGAGCAGTGGGCCTGGCTTCTGGTTGAGCAGCGCTCCCCCTGTCAGAGCTCATTGACCACCAGGGGGCAGCTCCTGCATTGAGTGTCTGCCCCCGGGTGGTCAGTGTGCGTCATAGCGACTGGTTTTCTCCCCACAGGAAGCATCAGTGTGACATCCTATTTGCTGCTGCAGAGACCACCACTGCAGTCCTCGCCAGCCTTGAGCAGTGGGCCTGGCTTCTGGTTGAGCAGCGCTCCCCCTGTCAGAGCTCATTGACCACCAGGGGGCAGCTCCTGCATTGAGTGTCTGCCCCCGGGTGGTCAGTGTGCGTCATAGCGACCAGTTTTTCACTGTTCGGTTGATTTGCATGTTACCCTTTTATTATATAGGATTGTTCAAGGAAATGCAGTAATAGAAACTTTAGTTGTTTTGTTATAACCCAGGTCTACTCCTCTCATGATTTTAAGGCATTATATACGACCTAAGCTTGTGGTGACAGTAAAATTCCAGGTTAAGTTTTATCGAATCTCCCGTTAAAAAGAAAGCAGTGTTTCATTCTGGTTAAATATTAGTCATGTTTACATGTTTTCCTAGTTCAGAGTGCCACTGGTTTGTATGTCTCTTAAGTGCAAACATTGAACTGATTGGTGTTCATCCTAGTTTGACAGAATGTACTGAATTTTTCCTCATTGTCAGTCTGATGTGCCTGAAGGAGTCATAAGAGTCCATGCTCCACGTCTTTCGAAGGTTTCCATGGCCATTCAGCTCAGTAGTCAAACCAAAGCCAAAGACATACTGGCAAAATTTCAGTATGAGAACAGGTGAGTAAACGTGAATAAAGGTCTCTGTACAAAGATGATGAACTTTTATCAGAGAGTAACTTTCCAGGAATTTACAAATTTGGCCTTTTTGAAAAATTAGAACCAGTTACTTTGGAAACTTTACCAATAAGTGAAAAGTCAAAAGTAGAGTAAGAAGTTAGTAGGCCAGAGAATTGTCAGTAACAGAAGTTTTGGTTTATTTAAAGGAACTTCTACAAGTGGGATTCTTTATTTTCTTTTTTTTAATTGAGGTATAATTAACATATAACATTCATTTCTGGCATACAGCATAATAATTTGAGAGTTGTATATATTGCAAAATTATCACCACATTAAGTCTAGTTAATATTTGTCACTGTACAGTTACATTTTTTTCTTGTGATGAAAACTTTTAAGATCTACTCTCTTAGAAACTTTCAAATATACCATCACGTTGTACATTATATCACCATGACTTATTTATTTTATAATTGGAAGTTTGTACCCCCTTCACTCATTCCCCCCACTCCACCCCCTTACCTTGGCAATTACCAATCTTTTCCCTGTATCTGTGAGACTGCTTTTCGGTTGTGGTGGTGGTTTTGTATTTTTAGATTCCACATATAAATGAGATCATGTGCTATTTGTCTTTCTCTGTAGGACTTATTTCACTTAGCATCATGCCCTGAAGCTCCATCCATGTTTTTATTGCAAATAGCAAGGTATCATTTTGATGATTGAATAATATTCCATCATATATATTACATTTTCTTTATCCATTTATCCATCAATGGACACTTAGGTTGTTTCCATATTTTGGCTATTGTAAATAATGTTGAAAAGTTCCTTTTTTAGATATGGAAGCTGGTTATATGATGTGTACACTTTTTGTATGATTACTACTATATAAGTTCATACATATAAAGCTTTCATAAAAAAGAAGGGTAGACAGAGGCCAACAGGAGCCCCAAACATTTACTCCTTTTCTGCTGCTGGCCCTGATACCTATAACACTGTAAATAGTTACCCTTGGGCAGTAATAGAGGGACTTGAAATTCCATTTGAGGAATTTGGGCATCCAATAGATTTCTACTTACAAAGTTGTTTCTATATGCTCATGTATACCTTTTGTAGAAAGAAATTTTGGACATTCATGAGCAAAAAAAAAAAAAAAACACCCAGAAATGACCCTTGATTTAAACCTCACATTTTATACAAAAATTAACCCAAAATGGATAATGGAATTAAGTGTAAAACATAAAAACTTTTGGAAAATTGCTTACAACAAAACTTTTGTGATATAAGGCTAGTGAAGAATTCTTAGACTTAACATTGAAAGCATGATCCATAAGAGATAAAAATTTATAAATTAGGCTTTATCAAAATTGAAATATACACTGAAAGAACCAATAAAAATGATGAAAAGACAAGCTAAAGACTTGAAAGAAAATATTTACAGACCACATATTCAAAAAAGGTCTAGCCCTAGCCGGTTTGGCTCAGTGGATAGAGCATCGGCCTGCGGACTGAAGGATCCCAGGTTCGATTCTGGTCAAGGGCATGTACCTTGGTTGCGGGTACATCCCTGGTGGGGGCTGTGCAGGAGGCAGCTGATCGATGTTTCTCTCTCATCGATGTTTCTAACTCTCTATCCCTCTCCCTTTCTCTCTGTAAAATATCAATGAAATATATATATTTTTAAAAAGGTCTAGTATCTAGAATATGTAAAGAACACTCAAAACTCAACAGTAAAAACAAATAACAAAAATCAATACAATTGATTTTTGTTGTTGTTCCTTTTTATCACCAGAAAGGATATGCAGATGACAAATATGCACATGAAGAAATATTCAGCATCTTTAATCATTAGACACCTATAAGAATGGCTAAAATAAAAAAAAATGATAAGACCAAATAATGACAAAAACATAGAGAAACTTGATCACTCATGCATTGCTGATGGGAATGTGAAATGGTACAGTCATTCTGTAAACCAGTTTGATAGTTTCTTATACAACTAAATATGCAGTTATCATGTGAACCCAGCATTTACACTCCTGGGCATTTATCTCAACGAAATTAAGACCCATGTTCCCACAAAATGCTGTGCACAAATGCTTACAGCAGCTTTATCTATAATAATAAAAACTGGAAAAAACCCAGGTGTTCTCTAACAGGCAAATGACTAAACAAACTACAGTACGTCCATACCATGGTATGCTATTCAGCAATAAAATTTAGCAAATTGAATGAATATCCAGGGAATTTATACCGCTGGGGAAAAAACCAATACAAAAGAATTCCATACTGTATGTTTCCATTTCCATTTCCATAACATTTTCAAATGACAAATTTATAGAAATGTAGATAGAGGGATAGAGGATGGGGGTATGGATAGGGACAGGGAGAGAGGGATGGGGTGACTATAAAGGGGAAAGGAGGGATCTCGTGGTGATGGAAATGTACTGTCTCTTTTTTGTTGTTGTTTAATCCTCACCCGAGGATATTTTTTCCATTGATTTTTAGAGAGAGTAAAAAGGAAGGAGGGGGAGAGAGAGAAAGAGAGAAACATCAATGTTAGAGAGACACATGGATTAGTTGCCTCCTACCCCGACTAGGGATTGAACCTGCAACCCATATACGTGCCCTTGACCGGGAATTGAACCTGTGCCCTTTAGGTGTGTGGGCTGATGCTCTAACCACTGAGAAACACGGTCCAGGGCATGTTCCATATCTTGACTGAATCATTTAGCATCATGGTTGTAATATTGCACTAGTCTTTAAAGACTTTTCTATTAGAGGAAATTGGGTAAAGGGCACACAGGATCTGTCTGTATTATTTCTTACAACTACATTCAAATTTACAATTATTTCAAAAAGTTTAATTTAAAAAAAACAAAGGAGAGCGTACATATTCTTCCTCACAATAGTGAGAAAAATCTTTTTGAAGAAATCAAGCTGAAAGTCATTCCTGAAGTGGGAGAGAGATCAGAAATGGTCTTTTCAGATTTTTCTACGCTAGCATTCTAGTCTGGGGTAGAAAAATTTCATGGGGCAATCATTTCTCTGAGTGACTTTTACTATAGGGCAAAGTCATGGAATGAAATCAATGTTAGACAGTAGCAAAGCATTAATTAGTCAAGCTTAGAAATGTGACATGGGCTGAGGAGAGAATCCCATTCAGTTTTGGGAAAATATGGAAATGAAACCTGACTTTTTTGAACTAAGAGTGATGCGACCAATGACCAGGCATAATGAAGCACCCAGCTGCTCCTTGGCCAGTGTGATATGTCAGTAGCAGTTACCTCTCTAAATGGAGCTGACAGTTGTGGATAAATGGGCCCCAGTTGCCGTGGAAGTCTGTGTCAAACAAAAAGCTTTTATCATAACTTCAGTCATAATGATTTGTGGGTGTATTTCACTCAAGGTAGAATGAATTGTTTGTTGCCATGGTTATTTGATCTACAGATTAACCTCCGATTATGAAAGGGTTAAACTTATGTTGCTTTCTCTTTTTTTCAGTCATGGTTCTTCAGAATGCATTAAAATTCAGAACCAAAGGTTATATGAAATTGGAGGAAATATAGGTAAGGGTTCTTTAACATTTTTACTCCTAAATTCTCTGGTTACTGTAAAAGAAATATGACATTATTATAAAAGTATATTTTATAAGTTTCTGAGACATAAACTCAAAATCAGTGAATTTTTTATTTTTTAATCTCATGTAAAAACAGTATGACTTTCCTAAAATATTTTCAGAATTTAAATGTGAATATTTTAGTTTATATAGAGTAGACTTTTGGATCTTTTAAATGTGCCTCAAAGTTGGAAAATCTCTTTCTGGAGATTCTTGCAAAACAAAGGAAAGAACATCATGGAACGTTTAGTTAACTTCCCTATTTTCACTAGTAGCCCAACTTCATTCTTCCTATTTCCCTGACGGTGAAAAAGGAATCCAGAGCCTAACCAGTTTGGCTCAGTGGATAGAGCGTCAGCCTGCGGCCTGAGGGGTCCCGGGTTCGATTCTGGTCAAGGGCATGTACTTGGTTTCGGGCACATCCCCGGTGGGGGATGTGCAGGAGGCAGCTGATCAATGTTTCTCTCTCATCGATGTTTCTAACTCTCTATTCCTCTCTGTAAAAAATATTTTAAAAAAGAAAAAGGAATCCAAAGAAAATTCCCTCTGCTTTCTTCTGTGTCTGTGTCTTCTGCTTGCCTTCCTCACAGTCCAGAGGAAATATCTGTGCTCCTATTTAAGACCAGCTCTCCCACTCAAGTCTCACTTTATATCCCCCCTGCCCAGTCAGGACCTTGATCCAGGTATTCCCCCATTCTCTCTTGTATCATCAGCTTTCCCTCCAACTGCATCATTTCTATCTGCATAAAAATTTGGTAATGTCTCTCATTTTTAAATTTGTTTTTTATTGATTTGAGAGACAGAGGAAGGGAGAGAGGGAGAGAGAGAGAAACATGAATGAGAAAGAAGCATCATGGATGGGCTGCTTCCTGCATACCTCCTTTCTGGGGATCAAGCCCACAATCCAGGCATGTGCCCTGACCAGGAATAGAACCGCCAACCTTTCAGTGCATGCCCTGAACCACACCAGCCAGGACATGTCTCTCATTTTTACAAAATTCTCTCTTGACCCCCTTCCAGTCAACACCCATTTTTGTTCTGCTTTACAGCAAAAACTCCTAGAATCAGTTGTCTAAACTTCCATTTCTTCCTCTTGTTCACTCTTGAAACCACTCCAGTCAAGCTTTAGCTTTCAACACTTAATCACAATTGCTCTCTTGTCTAGGTCACCAGAGAACTCTTACCTTGTGAAATCCAACAATTCAGCCTGTCTTTATAACTACCTGAGTTGATCTTTCCCTTCTTTGAAAAACACTTTCTTCATCTGGTCTCAAGGACAACCTAAGCTTCTGGCTTCCCTCCCACTACGCTGGCTACTCATGGGTGTCTTTTGCCCATTACTTATCCTCTCACCCTCTTAAGATTGGAGAGCTGTAGGGTTCAGTCCTTCCACCTCTTCTTTATCTACATTTAACTTCCTTGGGGAGCTCAGTTTATCTCCTTGCTTTGAATACACCTGTATGTTGATGCCTCTCACATTTACATCCTGACTTTCCCTCAAACACCAACCTTGTGTATTCAATCACTGGGCACACTCTGCTTTGGGTCTTTGCATTTGCTGACTTTTGCCTAGAACTCTCTCTCTTTTAGATTGTTCATTCCTCGCTCCCTCATGCAGGCCTTTGATGAATATCACCTTCTCAATAAACCTTCCTGGATTATATCTTCTCTATGTTCCTTCCATGCTTCGTTGTTCTCTGATGTTCTCATCATTATCAGACTTGCTTTACATTATACTAGCTTATTTCCTAGTAGCCTTTACCACTTTTAGAATGTGAGTACCATAGGGCAAGTACTTTTGACTGTCTGATGCATTGCTGTAGCCCCAGCCCCTAGAATCGTTCCTGGAACATGATAACTCTCAATAAGTAGGTGATAAATGAATGACTCAAGCGAGCAGTCAGATCTTGGTAGTTTTGCTTGAGACTTTAATATGAATTTCAAACACACTGTATATAAAATTTTTCACATGTATTTTATCACATAGAATGATCTTTTTGTTGTTATTTCCAGATCTTCTACCTATGGGCATTGTATCCATCGTAAAGAAATTAAAATGAACTTGCTTTTAATCTTCTCTAGTCTTGGTCAAGTTACTATCTGTAAAACCATTAGAGGACAGGTATTACATTATAAATGATCATTTTATACCTGAAACAAGTCCTTGCCATATTTTTCCTAATAAATGTGGTGAGTCTAGGAAACAATTTGCCTGTGGTTGATATGTATTTTCCACAATTTCACATGGGATTTATTTTAAGTACTTAACAGCCAGGAAGAAACAAAGAAAGAAAGGAGGGAAGGAAGGAAGACAGACAAGCTTTGATAAGAATCTTTAAAATGTATCTACAGTCATGTTTTTGGTCAACAAATGACTGTATATATGACAGTGGTCCCATTAGATTATATTGGAGCAGAAAAATTCCTATTGCCTAGTGACATTGTAGCTGTCATATATAGCAGAACACATTTGTAGTGATGCCAGTGTAAAGAAGCCTATTCTGCTGCTAGTCATATAAAAATATAGCACACATAATTACAGTAGGGGGCTGTACCTTCTAGATTTGTGTAAGTACACTGTGACATTGGCCATCTTGCCTAGTGACATTGTAGCTGTCATATATAGCAGAACGCATTAGTCACACATTTGTGGTGATGCCAGTATAAACAAGCCTACTCTGCTGCCAGTCATATAAAAATATAGCACACATAATTACAGTAGTAGGCTGTACCTTCTAGATTTGTGTAAGTACACTGTGACGGCCATCTAAATTTTTTGTCTCATTATATATTTTAATTGTTTATTGCTTGTTCAATCATCAGTAAAGGCATGGAAATATTTAATAACTAAAGTACTCAACTCTAAAAACAATAAGGAAAGTGCTTACTGTACTTACTTTTGGCTAAGAGAACTACAGTGGCCTTATCGAAACCTTACAAACTCACACATACGTGCACATACACACATACTCAGAAGTGTTCACTCTTAAAAACATGCTCTGATTTTCTCTTTCCTTAGGACAGCATTGCTTGGATCCAGATGCTTACATATTGGATGTATATCATGTAAATCCTCAAGCAGAATGGGTCATTAAACCCCAATCAAGTTTTTGAAATACCCTCAAGATGGCAGCTATTATGTTTAATATGCCAAGAAAATTCTACATTAAGTAGGGGGAAAAAAGGCTGCTTTTGACATGTTTGTTCCTATAACCCTCGTGGTGTTTCTCAGCTCAAGCGGTGTCTCCCAGCATTGTCAGCATGAACTATGGAAGAGGATATGGTTAATCATTTGAACTAAAGCTTTCTCATGACAGTTCCTTGATAAGAGTGAAAGAAAGAGGTCATGATCCTTCTGAAGAAAGACTAATCGAGAACAGGAATTCTGATCATTTCTAGTACGTTGGCTATAGCAGAAATGAACTTGATCCTTATCTAGGGATAAGAAACACTTCTCTATGTAGCAAATGCTACCAAACACAAGAGGTGGAAAAAAGACTTTTTTGTACTTATGCTATATATACATATATTGTCCTGTGTAAGCAAGAATGCCAGAAATATCAGTAACCTCCACTCTATAAAATAATTCAGCTCTACTTTCTAGTGGAATCAGTTTCTAAAGTTACACATACACTATTTATGCTCTGACTTTCTCCTGAATTGAAGGAGAAACTTCTGTTTAAAGACACTGTACTATTATGTACGTTGTACTGTATCATGATAATCAGCATTCTGGTGCAAATGAACATTTCTTTTTCTTGGACTGGTGAAAATTTACAGTTATAAAGCTTATTCCCTTATGAGCACAGGGCCACCTAGGCAAGCTTAGTTTGACAAAGGGTATTCTTATGTTTTCATAACCTTCTGTGTAGTCAAAAGTCACAGAGCCTCTATTTTTCTCATCGTGATTATGGTGCTCAATGAATAGCTTTCCATGTGCCGGGCATTGATTTCCTTTTCTGACCAAACATATCACTTTTTATATTTTACAACTGTAGATAGTCACTTCTACAACCCCAGTTTAAAAATACAGAACTGCCTTTATCCACGAGTGCTTAAAAATACCGTTACATTCAGATTTTGCATGCTGTAAAAGCAGGTTTTGTTTCTGTTCATCAATCATAGTCATGGCCAAGCACTGGGGATTAGCATCAGGTTTTAAAATCAGATGCATATTTTGTAAGCGGAAAACTGTCTCGCTATCAAGATCCTGTGGAGCCATTTTCAGACCTGAAATTGATAAGAACACACAGTCCCCATGATTGTAATTGAAAGCAAATCTAAAATATGCAGAAGGGCCAGACTGCTCTGCCTTTCATCTTGAGAACGCAGATATAGTCCTTCTGGGGTGAGCTAGAAATGGGGCCGCCGTCTCATTTATCCCACATGCTTTGGATTAGAATCCACAGATTGGTATTTTGTTGACTTTATATCAGTTTTAATGAGCTTTGACACTCAAACGACTCTCTTGCAGTTCAAACAAGAGACAAAATTGCTCACAATCACAGAAAACATATCTGCTTACCAAGTCTCAAAACATGCGATAATTAAAGACCACATATACAAGAAATTTTTATATGCTGCAGTATGCCTTGATGTCTATAAAAACATTACTTATATTCAGCATGTTGATAATTCAGTTTCTGGTCATTAAGATTTTGCTATATTTTTGTAGAAAACTCAAATATCTATTCATTTTATTTGTTTGAGAATCTCATTTCCTTTTCCTGAAAACGCATTAGGAAAGAAACATGTTCTGTAAGTTTAGACTTACATTTCATTAGCTTTCAGTATGTGGGTAATTGATGACATATGAGTTTACATAATGAATTTCAAAAGTCTGAAAAAATGCTTTTATCATTTTTTCAATTTAAACAACAGGAATAAACATTTCACTTTATGTTGTTACTAAGTTCCAAGACATAAGATGGCAGTAATATATGCCTACACACATGGAAGAAACTCTTCAAATTTACTACCTTACACTTCTATGTATATATGAAAATAATGATTGATTTATCTCACTGTATTTCTTATCATTTAGAATAAATTGTTTATATAGAAAATTCATGAATCTATTCATTCCATTTTTTTATTTAGGAGTTTTCATTTTCTTTTTATTGAAAATACATTAGAACCTATACATAAGTTCTAAGGATTTCAAGATTTACCTCACTTGTCATCAGTTTGAAATAAATTGCTAGCAGATGACAGGTAAAAACAATAAGTTTCTGAATTTCTTAGCCACTTTGTGTGTTTTCATAGGTCAGAGACTTAACTGAGTCAATGACTTTAATCACTTTAATGTATTCAAGGATGTGTGACACCTTTCAAATAACTGTATTATATAGAAGGCCATGTCAATACCAATAGCATTATCCAATGATAACTTTTATTCTTAGTCATAGGGTTAACTGATTAGAGAAGAATTTTCAGTAGACACACAGACTAATTTTATGTAAATAAAAAGGGGTTTTGTTTTGTTTTTTTTTACTAATTTTATCTTTAAAGAATAAACAAACCCTTACAATTGAAATTTAAAAATGCATGCCACCTAAGTATTGAAAAACTATCTTTGCCTTATCAAGAGTTGTTTTAAAATAATTATGGCAATCTGTAAAAATGAATAGTATATTTGCAAACAAGAGCAGTCAGACTGGGCTTTTAAATTCTGTTTTTAATACCTTCCCACCCCACCTCACCCCTACTGCCCTTGGTGTACAGTTAGGAAAATAATATCCAGGAAAGAACAAGAGAAAATTAACATTTTAGGAACACTTACTCATTTAAAAAAAAACAACCTAGAACTGGCTCACTTTTTTATTCTGCAAAAAAGAATCCCTTTGCTAAGCAGCTCACTTGGGGATATAATTTTTGGAGTGAATGACCTTCGAACAAACTGGAATGTTAATTTCTTTATAATGTATACACAGTATAAACTACCTCACTTGCTTTTCTTGGGAAAAAATTAATGGACTTTAACAACTTTTGTTACAAACTGTCCCTGAGTCTTATTTGTCACTTCAGTTAGTTTTCAGTGTACACTTAATAATATACATTTAATAATGTAAAATATTCTTAGCAAAATCTTGAAGCCAAAAATACTCTGTAACTGTTATCTGTGGTATGCTTTGAGAGAGTTCCTGTCCCTTGGTCATTGTCTTGTGTGTTTAACCATACTGAGATGCAGGTTTTCAAGTGTAGGGATTAATAGTCATCTCTTCTTGCAGGCATTTTTCAACTGCTTTTCCTCTATCGCAAGTGACTGAAAAGTAGGATTAGATTAACATGACCCTTCTTTTATCAAGCATATTTCAACTATTTTTCACAAATGTATCACATGCCTGAAAAGACTATAAATTGTGGGATTGAATAGTTCCTAGTTTCTGATAGGCATTTTCAATTCTTTTCCATAAATATATCACTTAATAAAACATTATATAACATGGATTGAAATGTTTCTTTCCAGCATTTTCAGTAGGTTTACATACACGTGCGCCTTAACTTTAAAATAACATGTTTTCTTTCAGGCATTTTTCAACTCTTTTCTAAAACTGTGATTTAATTGAAAAATTGTATGTCACAAGGAATGCCAATGTTTTATGTTGTCTCCCACCTTAAAAGTTAATGATTCTTTTGTCCCATTAGCTTTTATTGTTCGGTATAATATGTATGTTGCATTTTATTGATGAAAATAAAAATAAAAAATAAAAGTATTGCTATGAGAATTCTTATATTTAACTACTCTGAGGCCACCATGGTGCTGATGAAAGAACAGGAGCTTGAACATCGGGAGGTTTGTGTCTGAGCCCTGTAAGTCTCTGTCACTTACTAGCCAGATGGTGGTCTTGTGCAGAATCCACTTTGACACCTCTGTCATGGTGGGTGGTTGTGGGTAGGGAAAAGATTGAATAAGTAAACACTATTTCCCAAATTTGGTGCTCTGTCTGGACAAGCTTTTAGAAGGAGCTTAAATTTTTCTGAAAATAGATATAGAAAAGACATTTGACAAAGTTCAATACCCATTTGTGAATTTTTATAAAATTCAACATTTTACCATATATCTATGCAAAAGGCAAGAAAAAACATAAAGATTAGAAAATAAGAAATTGCCCAGCTGGTGTAGCTCAGTGGTTGAGCATTGACCCAGGAGTCAAGAAGTAATGGTTCAATTCCAGGTCAGGGCGCATACCTGGGTTTCGGGTTCTCCCCAGTAAGGGTCATGCAGGAGGGAGCTGATCAATGATGTTTCTGTCATCAATGTTTCTATCTCTCAATCTCTCTCCCTTTCTCTCTAAAATAATAAAAATATTTTTAAAAAGAAAAGAAAAAATAAAATGGACAATGTTTGCAAATTATGATTATTGATATAGAAAAGCCTCAGGTATCCTCAGCTATTAAAATAAGAATTTTTAAGGTTATGACAAGATTATTACATAAAAATCAATTATATTTTTCTTAACAGCAAACAATTGGAAAATAAAATTTTAACTGCCACTTCCTATAGCATCAAAAAACAAAATACTCATGAGTACATTTAACAAAACATATGCAAAA